GAAGTCTAACAAAAGAATCTAAATATTACATAAATAAAAAAGTCCTATCATTTTCATTTTCTTAGACTATCAATGACAATCATTCAATCAAATGACATTTAACATTGTATGTATAAAACAAAGCAAGATTGCATAATTTAAAAAAGAAAAAAATTCGCCAAAATGAATAAAAACCAAAGGAAGATGTCGATAAATGCGATGGTATAACAAAAAAATCACATTTGAGTGGAAATAAGAAGAGGAAGTAAAGCTATTTCACCTTTGTCAATAAACCCTAAACTCCAACCACGAAGAAGAAGAGCTTTTCGCGGTCGGTCGAAGGAGACTCCAAGCCAACTCGTGGTAGAAGAGAACTCCAAGCAAGAGGCGAAGAGCAACTCTCGGTGGAAGGAAGCCGACGCTGGTCGAATGGAACGAAGAGGGGAAAATGTCGCTCGAAGGAGAAGAAACCCTCATTCGAAAATGATGGAAGAGGCGAGGAACGAGGGGTTGAACCAAATAAATAAATATTAGGTTGGATTTTGTTTTTTTTTTTAATATTTTAAGGGCGAATGCCCTAAAAACTGAGGTGAGGCGCCCTTGAGGTGCGCCTCAATAAACTTGAGGCTTACGTCTCATTCCCTGCTCTTATTGCGTAGGCTTTGAGACTTAAAAGAACGAAATTGCATTGAGACTCGCCTCGTATTACGCAATTTTAAATCATGCTTCACAGTTTACATCCAATTGATCGATCACTTATTCTGTTAAAAGAATTTTAGTCATGATCACTTACAAATGTTTTTAGATATTGGGAAAATATAATAAAGGTTCAAACCACACATTAAGAATTTTGGAGAAGATATAAAGTAATTTTTTGAGATATAATTTTTTCATATGGGTTTGGGAAACTATTTGAAAGATTAAGCTATAGGCCTATAACCTAATTTCATTATTTTGTTGAATAATGTTTGAGGCTTTAAGCATTCTATTTGGAGTTCTAACTATTGAACTTATAATTTGTGTCGATCCTTCGATTCTTTCTTAGGATAATGAGCTCTAGTGGTGGAGGAATTGGGTCTGCTGATGGTCCATCAGAGACGAATATTGAAGATAACAAATCTTTATGGGGTCATGTGACAAAAATAGGAAAAATGTTAGAAGAGGGTGACAATATTGCATTCAAATGCAATCATTGTAATATCATATATAAATAAAAGATTATATTATAGAGTGAAAGCCTATGTGTTGAAAATTAGTGGTCATGGAATAAAAGTAGTTTCGAAGATAAGTGCATCATAAGTGGTTGAATTACAAAGAAAATTCAGTGAAGTTGAGCAGAGGAGTAGAAAAGATCTTTCAAAAGAGATTCCACTTTCAAGCACCCATGCTTCATATCCTTTATCATCTTCTTCAATTTGAAGTGATGATAATACTGTGAACAAAGGGCCCTTCATGATGGAGGGATATAAACTTAAAAGAAGAAAACATGTTGTAAATAGTGCTTTGGAGAAAATATTTAATTTACAAATGAGAGAATAATTAGATGAGAAAATATGTAGAATGTTTTACTCAGCTGGACTTCCTTTTAACATAGCAAGGAATCTATATTACAAGTATGCCTTTACCTAAGTATGCAGTAATAATATTGCAGGATACGTGCCACCAACATATAATATCATAAAAATTAAGTTGCTACAAAGTGAGGAACTTTTATTACGTCTGGTGTAAGGACGTAGAGGAACGTCCGGTTGGAGGCAAAATCCCGCCAAAAAACTCGGTATTTGCTTGGTACAACTAGGTATTATTTGATATTAACGAGGAATACCGCTCTTTGAAGACCAATACCGAGTTATATCGAGCTGTACCGAGAAATACCGAGTTGTACCGAGTTTTTCCTCGGTATTTCTCGGTTTAGCTCTGTATAACTCGGTATCGGGTCTTCAAATGATGGTATTCCTCGTTATTGTTAGGTATTGCTCGGTATTTGCTCGGTACAACTCGTTTTTTGGCGGGATTTGGCCTCCGACCGGACGTTCCTCTGTGTCCGGTCGGAGGACGTAATAATTGTTCCAAAGTGAGAGGGATAATATTGAGAAGTTGCTCGAGCCTACCAAGGAGTTTGAAAGGAAAAAGGAGTTACTTTGGTTTGTCATGGGTGGACAAATCCACAAAATAGATAACTATTAACTTCATGGGTGTAACAGAGAGCTATCATATGTTTATAAAAGTTATAAACTATGAAGGATAGTACAAGGATAAGTTTTTCATTTCTAATTTATTCAAAGAAGTCATCATGATGGTGTGACCTTCAAACATCATCCAGGTCATTACTAATAATGCTCCTGTTTGTATAGATGCAGGTCTACTTCTGGAGCAAGCTTATCCTCATATTTTTTGGACACCATGTGTTGTGTGTACGTTTAATCTTACCTTAAGAACATTTGTGCATTTAAGAATATCCAGGCAAACGAAATCACTTACAATGAATGTTATTGGATTACAGTGATTGCTAGAGATGCAGTTGTAATTAGGCATTTTATTATAAATCACTCCATGAGACTCTATATTCAATGATTTCTCTAATTTGAAGATGCTTGCTGTTGCTAAAACTCGGTTTTCCTCAGTTATAGTGATATTAAGAAGATTAAAAAAAATAAAAAATTCTTTTCAAGCTATGATGATCAGTGAAAAATGATCTTGTTATAGGGAAGATGATGTTGGAAAGGCTAGATATGTAAAAGAGAAGCTTTTAGATGATTTATGGTTTGATGAGATTGAATACATCTTAAATTTCACAGATTCAATTTATAAGATGTTGATAGTTGTTGATAGGGATAAGTTTTGTTTACATATCATTTATGAGATGTGACATTCAATGCTAGCAAAGGTAAAAGAAATTATATATAGACATGACAGAAAGACACTTCATGAAAACTCAAGTTTTTGGGATGTTATTTATGTTATTTTAAAAGATAGGTGGAGCAAAATTAATACATCTTTACATTGCTTGGCTCACTCACTAATTCTCAGATAATTTCAACAATTTTTCATTATTAATTCATAATTTGTTGTTTAGTAATTATCGAATACTAGTTGCTTTTAATGTTATTTGAAGATATTCAACTAAAAAATGATTTCAAGAGGATTACATTGCTTGGCTCACTCACTAATTCTCAGATAATTTCAACAATTTTTCATTATTAATTCATAATTTGTTGTTTAGTAATTATCGAATACTAGTTGCTTTTAATGTTATTTGAAGCATTTAAGAATATCTAGGATTTCAAGAGGATTCTCAACAAGTTTCTCCATAGAAATATTTAGAAATTTTAAATATAAGGAAGATATATTTGAAGCGTTATTTTACAAATGAGAGTGAAAAAGTGTCAAAATTGAGTTTGCTAAAATTTTTTGTTGTTTAGAGGACTTTGGTGACCAAGAGCATTGCGTGATAGGTGGAGAATTGTTCCAAAAATATGGTGGTTGATACATAGAGCTTCAACACCTCTACTTGAAATAATCACCATAAAATTGCTGGGCCAAGTTTCATCCTTATATTGTTTTGAAAGAAATTGGAGCACATACTCATTCATCCCATTAATTAAGAGAAATAAAATTACTCCACAACGTGCTGAAGATTTAATTTATGTGCATATAAACCTTCAACTTCTATCAAGGAAAATCAAACTTACATGAAAAGAGAAATTGATATGAGATGTTACTAGAGATGGATTTGAATCTCTTGAGGATATGGGAATATTAGAAATTGTTAATCTTTTACTTGATGAGCCTGAATTGGAAGCTATGATATTTATTGAAGCTGATATAAAAGTTTAAAGATAAATCAATGAAGAAGCTAATCCTATCATTCCTTCTATTTAATAGTTGAAACTTCATGTACTAGACAATTTATGTTTTTATTTTTGTTGTTGTAGTAGACATTTAATGCATACTTTTATTTTGATATTATAAGCTACAAGGCTACAAATGATGTTGCTTTCATTTTTTTTGTCATTTTAAATATTACCCTTTGATTACTTTCTTAATTTTTATGTATGATTTATATATTATAATGTCGTATATGCACTGTACTCGTATCCTATATTTTTAAAAATTGATGTGTCCCGTACTTGTATCGTGTCGTATCCATTTCGCCATATCCGTATTGGTGCAACATAGAAGGAGATGAGCATGATCCAGGTGAGCCTCCCACGGATCCCTATGCCGATGTCATCCCCTCCGGAAATCCTGCGGGCTCTTTCCACCCTTTCTTCTCGGGCTTCTAATCTCTTCGTCTCTCCGCAAGTGCCACTCCACCTGTATCCTTCTTCTCAAAGTGCAGCAACTTTAGGGTGTCTGTCGTGTTGTTTGTAAGTCGTCGTTGTAATTTCTTTTGTTTAATTTTATTTGAAATATAAGAGTTTGTTCTTTCCTATTATTGTTGTTATTCGTCCTCTTTCTCATCTTTAGTCATTTTCGTCCTTAGAAGTCCGTCGTGTCTTTTGTGGGCGAAGGGTATAGGCTCCCTAAATCTTTTGCTCGCATCATATGCTGGCCATGGGATCAAGGGCGAAGTGATGGCTGAGATCTAATAGCGTGATCCAGGTGAGCTTCTCACGGATCTTCATGTAGTTTGTGGGATCATGGGGTAAGGGATGGTTGAGATTTTAACAATAAGCTCTTTTTTGTAATAATTAGCTAAAGCTTTATTTGGAAGGTAGAAAAGCATATGAAATTTTAGAAAATCTTATGTACTATATTCTCTCTGACAATAAGGGAGAATAATCTACTGTGTCCATAAATGTGAATGATGTCTCATGAACTTCTTCAGGTAAGAGCTATTAGAGTATATGAGGATGCCTTAATGAAAAACTGCTCAAAGTTCATATTATGTTCCCACCTAACTACATGCAAGGATTCTTGTCCTAGCAATTATTTTTATCTTCTCTGTTGATTTATTGAAATGATTATTTCTTCCCATTTTGTGTTAATTGATTACAATATCCAATTTTGTTTACAAGAAAAAAATTACTATATTAGGTGGCCACAACAAATGTTGATGTGAGGGGAAAAGCTGGCCTTGATGGTGGTGATCTTCACAAATTTATTCTCCTAAAAAGGGCGACACTTCCAAAATCTTCTATTGATTTGGTATTGTCTTAATGAAGGTTTAATTTTGAAAGATAAAAATATGGTGCAGCTTAAATCTTCATAATGCTCTTTTATGAATTATTTTTCAGCTAAAGGAGATAGTTCTAAGAAGCTATCATCCTGATTTCTCATACTCAAAGGAATGCAATGGTTTGCTTAAAGTCTCAAGATCTGTTCGTGTAGATCATCACACTTCTAACAATCATAGTGATCATGATAGCATAAAGAAAAATCTAAGAACCATGAAGTATGCGAGCCCATGGATGAAGAAGCTTACTATTATTAGGAAATATAGAAAATTGAAAAAACTAGTGAATAATACAGCTTTGAGTACTGTCGGTGGAGCTTCACCAAAAATTTCTAGTACCCTGCAGCATTTCCTGAAGCAACAAGTTCCTGATGATGAAAAGAAAAATCAACAGACTAATGCTGATGGCACATGCAATGTTCAGTTCCTTGCAACTGAGAAGGCTACAACAAATACTTGTGAAGAGTTCCATGATGGTTGGATGCAGTCACAGAAAGATAATTTATCAGGCTATGTTCCTACTCCAAATGGTGACTCACATGACTTAGAAGGATCTCTTCGATCTAGACAACAATCTCAAAAGCAAAATATTCTGCATGATGATAGAGCTGATTTCGAAGAAGTAGCTGGTAGCGATTGTGATGATTTGCAGTTGTTGGAGCAGACTTCCATGCACCATTCTTCTTCTACACAAAGCTTGTGTATAAAATGTGGTAGAAGCGGTCAGCTTTTGAGCTGTCGTGGTGATAGCTGCTCAAGATTTATTCATAAAAGCTGCTTGGTCCTGTTGGCTGGTGTTGAGAAGAATGGCCTTTTCTATTGCCCATTATGTACTTATAGAAATGCACATATGATGTATAACAAGTCAAAAAGAACAGCTCAGGAAGCTCGAAGAAACCTTTTCTTATTTTATGATATTGGTCCAACAGTTCATGACTTGAAAAGGAAAAATTCTTCTGCAAAAATTATGACAAGAAATGAGCAGATAAGTGACAATCACAACAGCAGTGAGCACCCAGATTTTCCTTCTAATCAGCAACTTCAAAACACTTCTGGCGTACAGAAATACGATGATGCTCAAAATGCTGAAACAAGTAACAGTAAGTTTGTCAGAGACAATAACCAGGGAATCACTCAAAATCAGCAAAATCAACTTAATGGTGAGGTTGATATGGTCTGTAAGATTATATTGCCTTATAGAGAAACAATTGAACACGACGCTCATAAAGATGTTCAAGATACACCCACGAAATTGAAAAGTGATCCTGCTAGAGAACATGAAAGCACTAGAGTAACAGAGAACCAGCAGCATCTGGATGATGATGGAATAAATGACAATGTTAGTGTACCCTGTGATATGAATGCATCTCATGAGAGAAATGGCGATATTTGTGTTACAAACAGTAGAACTAAAGTTTTCAGGGATCATTTACAAGTTAATGAAATTAAAAACCTGCATATTGGTGATGTAGATCAGGAACCGATATCTTTACAAGCTGCCAAAAGATCACCTGTGAAGGCCAAAGGGGAGGGGGATTATGATGTGAAAAGAAAGGCTTCAGCTTCACAGATCAGTGATAGGTTTGCCAAGCGAAACAGAAGAGCTAAAGCTGTCAAGTTTGGTAATTATCAGGGAGTTGTCAAAAATCAGCAAACGGATAATTCATCTTCTAGAGATTTAAGGAAGAACAAATATTGTTGGCAGAATCAAGGGTAAGATGCCTTACTGCAATATATTTAGCATATGCTTTTTAAATCCCTTTGGCATTAAAGTTATCTTTTATCAATAATTGACCCAGAGATTCAACAGCATTTTGAATCAAACTTGTTAAAAAAAAATCTTGTGTGCTTTTTTGAAGAAAAATTCGTGGGACTGTTAGTTGCAAGCATTAGATGGGATTTAGGCTGAACTTGAAAAATAAGTTTTTGAACTATATAATCCTACTATCTCCTTATAACCCAGATTTAGCAAATTCTGGGTAAAGTAAGATTTAGGAGATTTACCACTTCTACTCACTATGTTTCTTCTTCTATTTTATTTAAATCCTAAATATTGAAAAAAAATACCAAGCAGTTTATTAGGAACGAACCAAATTTAGTATCTATCATTCCAAACAGTTTTCTATGGTTTAACACCTTCAAGATTTACTAAATTGTAAATTTGGATTTATAAGATTATTAAATCTTATAGCAGAAGAAAGGACTCTGTGGTTAACTGGGCTTGGTTTTTGATGATGGAGAAATGTGTTCGATGTAACTGTGGTAGTAAGTGAAGGATTTGTCTGTTACTATTCAAATCCATATGCTGGAAGGAATTGCCCCTTCATCTGTTTTTGAATAAAATTTGGTTTTGCAGATTTACTCCGAAACGTTCCCCTAGCAGGAGAATGATATTAATTTGGAAGCCAGAAGAAGAAAAATTTTTGGAGGTCTGCATCTTCATACTCGAGCCTTAAAAACATCAAATTTCTTATCAATCAGTATAGATTATATAGTTGATTGGGGATTATTATGTGCTGTTTTTCACCGTATAATCATACTTCTTTCTTGTTATCACATAAGGGTATATTTCCTAATGCAGGAAGCCATGCAGAAAATTCCTAAAAATGAAGATGGAGGTATCCCATGGACAAAAATCTTGGAATATGGTCGTTTTTTTCTTCATGAATCTCGTACAACCATTGACCTTAAAGATAAGTGGAGAAATATGCAGAAAAAAAAAGCTAAAAGAAGAGTTTAGTTGATTTTCTCTTTCCCTTGTAAATTTCTTTGTATTTTGTTATCACTGAAGTAGGAAGCCTCAGGGATATCATCATAATTTGATCAGGATGGGCCATTATCTTTAAATTTATTTTGAGATTAGTTTTATACATTGAGAATGTATTTTGCACTCATCTCAAGATAAAGCTAATGAATTTGAAGCCTATTCTGATTGAAATTCTAATAGGTTAGCTTTAGCAAAAATTTTTTTGTTGTGGATAAAGAAGGTTTTTACACCTGCTTGTTTTGGAATCTGTAATCTTTAGTTCTTTTGAACTGGTATAGGAGGGATGTAATTGTTGCTGTAATATTGTAGTATATAAGGGTTGCAATGAAAATAACTGTTTTATGTTTTTGAAAGTAAATTTCAAATTATTTATTTTTTATGATTATCCCTTTTCCTGGAAGGTCTGTGGCATTGATTATGTTTGTTTTAGAAGGCTGTGATTTATGAACAAAATTATTATGTTTAACCCATTGCCTAAAAGAAAGTTGAATAAATGTCATCGAAAAGGTTGGAGTAGCTTCCGTGGAAGAAGATTAGAGAGTTGTCTTAGGTGGTTTGGTCACATAAAATGATGGTCTTCTAATGACTCGGTTAGAAAAATAGATGTGTCAGATTTGACTTATGTTAAGAAAGATAGAGGTAGATCTAAAAAAAATTGATTAGAAAATATTTAAAATGATCTCTCTTAATTAGATTTGAAGAAGAATTTGATTCTTAGTATGACAATGGAGAAAAATGATTCATGTAGTTGATCCAATTTAGTGGGATAAAGGTTCTTTGTTGTTGTTGTATTTGATTGGTTGTGTAAGTCATTTATTGTCATTAATCTTTTTTTTTTCATGAGATATATTGTGTTGGAAACTTTTATTTTGTTTATTTTGAATGTCTTTGTAGATAAATGATACATTTGTAAAGCGATAAGCTTTGATGTTGACCTTAGAAGCAGGGCTTTACATGAGTAAGACAAATGTATAGAATATCTTAAAGTTTTTTTTTTTTTTTTTCAAATGAAATATTTTATTTCCATTTACTTGCAAAATATTAAGTCAAGTGCTTATATATTAAATTCGATACAAACAACATGACAAATGTTTAGAAAAGGTCTTCAAAAAGATGAATGAGATAATTATTTATGTTATTATAAATGAATATGAAAGAGAAATCTAATGATCATATTTGTCAAGCATCAATTTCATTAATAATAATATTAATTTACTTGCAGTTTTTCTCAAATAAATAAAACAATCTTATGAAAATTTCTTTATTCTTTAGCTGAAATTATTAAAAATATGTTATGTCACACCACTTGAGGACTACCATTGGACCATTGTCTAATTGTCTTCATCAAGCCTTCATTGACAAACCACTAAGGCCTTTGGACAACCTTCGTCCAATAAATAAAACAATTTTATGAAAATTATCAGAAATATGATTTTGAACCATCTTTTCTCTTTCCATGAATTATAAAGTTTTTTTTTAATAAAAATGGACTTAGTTGTATTGAAGTCCTATATGAATTTTCATGAAATATTATTTATATATGCTTTTATGTTATTAATTTTTAGGAATAATTTTATCATCTATTTACCTTGTATTGTATTCCATTATTTATAGTATGGGTAACCCATCTTCCATTCATATCAATTAGGACTAGTAATTGCTACAACTATGGCAAACAAGGATATTTTGCTCATAATTATGTCATTAAGTAAAAAAGGATATGAAACTAAATAAGCACATCACGAGGGACTAAATTTTGTTTGTATGGTACTCCTATTTTCCATTCTATGGACTGTATGGTGAAATGACCTATCATTGAAGTGATTGTTATTAACACCTATAAGTTGGCAATGGGTGAAGAACACATTTTATTGATTCATATTGTCATATAAACACTTCATGTTTGACGAAACTTGATATCAATAATTAATTTGCTTAAGCTAAGATTTCATTTAACGTTCTAAGGAATTAATATTTTTATTTATTTATGGATAGTGTATTATGGTCATTAATGTTGTAATCCAAGATCCCTAATATGTGATTTTGATGATGACAAGCTTTATTGATTGAACTATTGCTTTTCTCACTAATCATTTTAGATATTTCTTTTGTATGCAAGCACTAACATTTTGGGTAAGATATACAAAGCTCAAGCAATTGAAGACTCAATTTTAAGTAGAATAGGATGTAAAAGGGTCTATAATTTTATTTTCTTTATTTTTTTACTTCTTAAGTCTGGCCACATAAGAGTGTATATAATTTGGGTGACCATGCACACATAGAGGGAGAGAAGAATTTTTAAGTTAAAGGTTTTTTAAACTAATCGTACTGTATGATTTTAAATCAATATGTACGATATGTTATATGAAAATAAACTTAACGGCTAATTGGTAAAATTAGTTTCAGTGAACTAATTGTATTGTACATTCATGATCGTACTGTATGATCAGCTATGATCTGAAAATCCTAACCACCTTATTAATTTAAGTAAGATTTTGAAATACTATTTTTGAACTGATCATACTATATGAATATTTAAAATCTTGCTAAAATTAACCCCCATAATAAGTCAATCAAGTCATAGTTTAATTAATGATATTTGATCATACTATATGATATTGATCGTACCATACGACTAATAGAGACAAAATATGGCCATCCTATAGATCGTACCAAACAAAACCATGACTTTTGAACTAATTATACTTATTGATATTTATATCGTACTATATGACCTACTTGAAATGAACTAACTATATTTTACGAATTGAACATCACAGGACAAATAATAGAGGCAAGTTTTCATCATCCCAAGAATCATCCCATGCAAATAGAGGAAATTGAACATATCATACTAGACAATTTATTGATCATACTATACGATATGTTTATAAAATTTGAACAACTTATTTTGAACGACTGTTTACATTGTACTAGACAGAAGTAGTTTTGAACTGATTGTATGGTAGGAACTGGAATCGTACTGTACGAAAAATAATAGCTAAATTTAATTTTTAGGGTTTCTTGAAGCCTTTTATAAATGCTTTTATTTTTAAGTTTCTCTGGTTAATTAAGGGAGGAACGTGTGTTTAAAGAAGGAACTCTGAGAGAGGAGCTTTGGAGAATAAAATTAGGGTTTGAGAGAGGAAGGAAAAGGTGAGTGTGAGCGTGTGAGGGAGAAGTAGTGTGAGGGGATCACACGGTTGCTCCAGGCTAGCTTCACCCTTACTCCTCCTGTGGCTTTGGTGAGTCTTTTGGAAGCACTCTAGAGAGAGGCTTCTTAGTCCAGTCCTTGAGGTACTATACCTTCTTCAAGAGGGAGAAATGGAGTTAAGATTCTCTACCTTCTTGAGGAGGGAGAAAAATAAATCAATATTCATTTCCATCATCAGGAGGGTGACATAGCATCTGACAGTCCATCGCATAAAAGTTTGGTGAAAGTGAGTTTATAAAGGCTTCTCTGTCTTGCTTTGGAAGCAAAAGGAGAGTCACTTTAGTTTAGTGAAAATTCTCAGAGCGGAGAACTCCGGAGAGTGGACGTATGCCAAGGTTAATCAAACTACTATAAAAATCTCTAAAAATCTCAGATGTGTTTTTTTCCTTTTCACACTTTTATATTTCTTGTATTTCACTTTCGTTTATAACTGCTTGGGAAAATGTTGATTATTGCTCCCTCACGTAGATAAAAAATTTAACTATAGTAACTTTTATATTTTTGTTAAAAATCTCTCACTTATGCAATCATTTAAATTTTGGTATTTTCAATTACAATTTTTTTTTTCAAAAATATTATTATTGTTACTTTGAAGTCAAGAAATTTTTAAAGTACCAATTCACCCCCCTCTTGGTGAGCCTTGGTTTAGTTTTATAAGATTTAACAACCTTCACAAACTTTCAAATGGCATCAGGGCATGATTTCAAAAACATGGTTTTAGAAAGTCTTTGAAAAAATTGATCAATGGCTCACTTTAATAATCGTAACACTACAGAGCATTATTATATAATTCATCCACCACTGTTTGAAAATATCCCATTCGATTTCTAGAAAATACACATGTTTACCTTTTGATAATCCAAGGACATCAAATTTGGCATATGATTCAAATTGGCCATTTACTTATATTGCATGTTGTTGATAGTGTTAAAACTAATATTCCATTTACTCAATGGAGTAATGAGGAACTCACACAATTAAATGTTAAGTGTCTAAATTATTTCTTTTGTGCTTTAAAATTTGAAAACTATATGCAAGTTTCTATAAACACTATCAGGAAAGAGATTTGGGATAGGTTTTGTACCACCTAAGAGGGAACCAGTGAAGTTAAATAGTGTAGGCTAAATATTCTTTTGCATGACTATAAACTTTTTTGCATGAAACCAAGTGAGATTGTATCTAAAATGTACACTAGGTTCACCCAGATAGTAACATCCTTACATGTACAAGATAGAGAACTATCAAAATTTAAAAAAGTTAATAAGATTCTACATTATTTACTTAGTTCCTATGATGCTAAGATATTTGTAATCACTGAATCTAAAGACTTAAATATTTATTCCATTGATAATTTACTTTGGTCACTCATTGCTTACGAGCAAGGAGTAAGTCAAAGGCAAAGTTATGCAGGAGAAAAGAAGAAGGAGAAAACTGTAGCTCTAAAAGTAAATTATTATGATAGTGAAAGTTCTGTAGTGGATGAGGATGAAAAAATAACCTTGATAATGTGCCAGTTCAAAAGCTTTCTAAAAAGAAAATATAGGCGTTATAAGAACAACTAGAGCAAAAGTAAAAGCCATAAATCTACTAAAGTTTCATATGCTACAATTTGCTTTGAGTGCATGAAACTAGGCCACCTTCAAGCTGATTGTCTCAACTTGAAGACTCACCCAAGAAAGGAGAAAGGTGAAGAGAGGCTAAAGTATAAGAGTGGAAAGCAAAAGACACAAAAAGCTTTCTGG